ACCAAATTCAAATCCTAAAATTGCTTCTATTATATGTTAGGTTTTTATTACGACTGGTCTTAATTTAAAGTTCTCTCTTGGTATCGGGAGGGGTAAGTAACTATAAGGACTTGCGCCTATAGGAAATTAGAACTCGGATCATAAAGTCCTCACAAAATGAGAGTGAAATCTCTGGGTAGTGTTTTATCTAAAATCCAATATGTCTTCTGAAAATTTACCTTGAACTTAAATCCGTTAAAACTCTCCCCGTCAACAAAAAAACAACATAGAGAGGCCGAAGCGCGAATTTTCAGAGCCCGCACAAGCAAATGGCTATTGGTAAAGTTTATGCCAACTCAAAAAATCATTTTTTTTTTCTTTTCAATTTTTTTTTTATTTAAAAAATGGGGTTTGAAATGTGGGGGAACTTAGTTAATACAACAAAATTTGCCACATCTTAAGGATCAATTGGAGGCATATATGTGGGTGCAGCAAAATCTTTGGGGTGGTTGAGTTGGCAAACTGACGGGGCTTTGAATATAAGGTTTGAATGACATAAGAGCTAGATGGAGAAGGCGGGCTAAATGAGTTCGCTTGATTAAGCGTATTTGGATAACTTGGTCTTTGTCTTGCTCAACATGACAAAAAAGCAGATCTGTTGCATGCGGAGCATGTCTTAGTAATTATAGGATTAGTCTGTGGCCCAACCAACCTCTCGTTTGGCTTGGGAATAACTCTACTTGACTCAAATGCCTAGAGTACTGAAAGTTTGTATAAGATATGTGATGAGGACATCCGACCATGGAGGGTCTACTAGAGGCGTGGTCGTCGATCTACGGCCACCATTGCACCACTTTATTTTTTATTATCATTGTATTTGTTTATTTTGTATTATGAGTTATTGTTGTTTTTCCATTTATACTCTCACTTGAGGGCCTAGGTATGTGCAAGCCCTTAGGGCTGTGGGCTCCGAAAATTCGGCCCCGGCCTCCCCGCCGCGCTGATTTGCTTTTTCTTCTGGTGAGGGGAGTTTTAACGGAATAAGTTTCAGGGTAAATTTTGGAAGGCAGATGGGTTTGTAGATAAGACACTACCCAGAGATTTCGCCCTCATTTTGCGAGGACTTTATGATCTGAGTTCTGGTTTCCTATAGGCGCAAGCCCCTATAGTTAATTACCCCTCCCGATAACGAGAGAGAACTTTCGATTAAGGCTAGTCATCAATCAGATACGTAGAGATACGTGTTATCTGGCATATAGTAGCAGCAATGGATTGGATACTGATAGAAATTGGATTTGGAAATTGGGTTTTGATTTTTGGTATTTAAAATAGAAATTGCACCATCTAGCACTTAAAGCGGATGGTGGGGGAATGGATGATTATTTAATATATAATCAATTATTTTCAATTTAAAATTAATTATAAATTAACTAAATTAAATTATAATTAATTATAAAATAATTATAATTAGTTATATTTATTTATAACCAATTATATTTCATTTTAAAATTAATTATAGATTAAGTAAATTTTAATTTGAGATTAATTATAAATTAATTATAATTAATCTCAAATAATAATAATAATACTAATAAGAAATTATCCTATACCTAAGGGGCTCTCGGGCAGGAGGAAGACTTTGGGTAGAGCAGGGAGATGGAGGTGTTGGCTCTACAGGTAAGGGTTATGCTTCCTCTCTCTCCTCTCTCTCTCTCTCCGGTCAAGGAAGAGGGCAAGGCTCGGGCAGAAGGACCTAGTGGAAATGCTGTGACTTTCGATCCTACAGGTAGGAAGGTCATCGAAGGAGCAGGCTGTGAGGTCAGCTATGGGAAAGAGGGAGGTGGAGCTCGGCTTTGGGAGGAGGAGTTCGGTCGAGGAGGAGACGGTATCGGAAGAGATGGAGGTCTTCGGAGATCTGGAGCTTGTGTTGGAGGAAGTGAGGGAGAAGGTCTCGGCAGTGGAAGCAGCTACGGGAGTCGAGATCGCGTGTGGAAGAGCGAGGGCTTTGGGTCGGTATTTAACGAAGAGAACGGGGCAGCGATCGAGAGCATATTTCACACAGGAAGTGCGGAGAAATGACGGGAGTGGCGCCGATTCAGCGGGATTCGTGGATCCGACGGGATACGAGGTATGTACGTGGGATTTTTACTTTGCTTTTATCTCCATTTGTTCCCTTTGGATATAACATGAGGGTCAACAAGGGCATGTTGGTCTTTTATTTTTCTCTCATTGTATGTGGCTATTTAAAGCCACCCTCTTCATATTTTGAGACTGATGAATGATATTATAAAAATTTATGCACTTGTGTTTTTGAGAGCTTAGAGTTCTTGGAAGAAAGATAAATCTCTTGGTGAGGACGGCGTAGTACCCACCAACAGTAGGAAGCGTCCAGGTTCATGGTACTTCTTTTCCTTCAATCCTTCCCCTCCCCTCTTTCCTTTAACTGCCGGCCATTTCCCTCCCCTTTTCCCTCTCTCGGCCGCATCTCCACCACCCTCACAAATCCAGCCAACCACCCCTTCCTATTGCCCAAGCTACCGGCCACAATGGCCTAGCACTCCCCCTTAACCGCCAGCCACGCCCCTCTTCCCCTTGGCTCCACAAACCCCATCTTGCATCAAAACATTTCTTATTTTAACCTTCTTATCTTGGCAACAATTTTGAATTCAAAATTAAAAAAAAATTAAATTTGAATTTGTTTCCTAAATAAGAATTCTTATTTTTAGGAAAGTTATTTAAGTTAGGTCTAATTAAATTTTTTAATTAGATTTTATTTAAATTATTTTTTCTTAATGTAAGATCCCAATTAAAGCAAACATTCAAACCCCACCCTAAACCTCTCTTCCATTGAAGCTGCCCCCCCCACCCCCCACCCCCCACTAACTCTCTTTCCTTTTAAGGATCCAATCAATTCCCCTCCAAATAAGCCTCTTTTCCTTCCCTCCAATTTGAAATTCAAAATTTCAAAACCCTAAAACCCCTCCCTAGTGAATCTGAAATGATTATTTCATATTTCTACTAAGAGCCTTCCCTTCCCCCTTAGCCGCCGCCCCTATTTCCCCTCCACCCCCTCTCCTTTCTTCTTTCCTTCAATTTCATCTCCTTCTTTACTTCCTCAATTATTCCCCTTACCAAGTAAACGACATTTCCCCCTTGCCATAGCTGACCATACCAAACCCTTGCCGCCTAGATTTATTTGCAAGTGCTGTCCAGATTTCTGGACTTGGAAATTGCTGTGCAGATCAATTCTAGTCCGCTGTCCAGCAGCAGAGCAAGTGCAGTCCTGGAATTACTGCATCATCTCCTTGCTGTTTAACCATTCGGAGCTTTCCCAGTTGCTGTCCAAAACTTCCAGCAAGCACAAACTTACCAACCTGCTGTCCCGATCATCATAGTTGCTGTCTATAAGCTCCAGTATTTTGCTATTAACCATTTCTACATCTTGACGAAGGTAAACTATCTTCCAAATCTCATATCTTCTAAGTTCTCTTTAATTGTGGCTTTGGTTGATTCCTAAAGATCGTATTAACTCTCTCCGCTAAGCCTAATAATTTAGGAGTGAGTGAGGGATTCCTCGTAGCGAATAATCTCATTGTTAACGTAGGGATTTCTTGTTGAAAATATTTCATGAATGCTACACTTGAATAATTGATTATTTTGTGATCTTAACTTCTAATGTGTGACTTGGCCTAAGCTTGTCTCATCCCTCTCTCATTTTCTTTCTTTGTTTAAATCGCTACAAGCTAATATTTAGTATTGCTCTTGTCTAACAACGTGCAACTTCTTATTTAACATTACCTAAGCATTTAAGTCCTGCATCAATATGAGGTTGGTAGAGGTTAAATGGAACACCCTCAAAAGATACTGTAGATTTCAAACGTTCATAGGACAGATGTTCGTATGCACAGGAGGATGATGCTGACAAAGGGAAGGAACACCCTTACTACAGGCCATGCAAGATCTTGAGATGGAACTAGTAATCAGTTGAAGCGGCGGCTTATCCAAAAATTCTTGGATAAGGTTCACAAATGGATTCTTGGATTTTTTTTTCTTTCACCCATCAAACAAAAATTCAGAGGATGAGAAGAAAAAGTACTCATCCTTTAGTAGAAGCTCATCAAGGAAACTTCAACTCCGCTCTACCTAATCTTGCTGGTCATGCTCTCCTAATTTCTAATTATTCAAATGTCCCAACTCAAACATCCACAGAAATAGAAAGAGTCGAAGACGTGAGATAACATGATTTGAATTTTGAAGTTGTGTAAGAAAATTACAACAAGGGTTAAAGGCTAAGTGGAAAACTTGACAGGAATTGAGGCACAGAAGATTATTAAGGCTGAATTCAATTAGTTGGCATGAGTTAAAGATGATGATGATGATAAATGATTTCTGTTACTTATAATTGTTAAGTCCCTTATTCTTTTTGAAAGCTTATTGTTTTTAGCAATCATATGATACACGATACTTAGATTATTAATGTAATTTTTAAGCACTAAATGAAAAAATTGGCCTATGAAATGGCATTTTGATGGTTGTCGCGTTACTTCACATTGTTTATCAATCTTTCTATTTGATGTACAATGAAGAGGACAATAATTATTTTTTTAGAAATAGGAAGAAACGGTGAGGACTTGAGGTAACATGGGTTGAAGTTTTGCGAGAAAAGTTGCGGGTAGGATTAAAGCCAAGTGAATGCTTGATAGAAATTCAGATGAAGAAAAATATTCATAAGGCTAAATGTAAATAGTTGGTATAATGCTAATGATGACGATGAACTGGCTCGTGTTCCATTACTCTTAATTGTGAAGTCCCTTTTTTTAATTTGAAAACATCACAATTTTAGAAATTTAATTGATACGCGATACTTATTATCAACATGTTTTTTTAGCACAATTATGAGATCATTGGCCTATGACACGACACCAACAGCTATTCAACGATTTGATGGTTTGTGTTCTATATGCCTTTTTTTATCACTCATGTGTTGTTTGCTTCTTGTTTTTTTTTTTTTTGCAATCCAGCTCTCTTAGGCGACCTGGTCAATATAATGAGAAGACAAATCGGTCTATGATAATGGCTCCGCTTGTTGGAATTATCCTCAACCTAATGGATCCAACTGCAGAGTCAAATCATGGAGAAACGATTGATATTATTGGAGTTTTTGCAAGCATGGACTGCCCTCTAACAGTCCATTGTGGATTCCAGTACCTGCTTAGTTATAATTGGGTTAGTTCTAATCTTTAGCCTTGGCTTATTTTGAAATTTTTGCTGATGGAGCTTCAGCAATCTTCAGAAATATTACCCTTTTTGGTTAATAACTGAAGTTCGTTTTATTGCATATCGGTTTGATTCTTTAATTAAGTGGATGTGGGGAAAAAAAAATTTGGTCAGATGAATTTCAAAGCTGTTGAATTTGTTTGAGATTAGTGCAATACAGTTTGAGATACCAATTTTTAATTAGGTTATCCTGATACAAAAAATTTTCTTGATTTTGTCTGTTTTAGAAGTCGGTGTAATGTCTTAACCCATATTACAACAACAACAAGCCTTCATCCCACTACGTGGGGTCGGCTACATGAATCCTTTTTCTCCATTATGTCCTATTAAAGGTCAAATTCTCATTTAAATCTAATAAAGAAAGGTCAATCCTAATATTTTCTAACCAATTCTTTTTAGGTCTACCTCTACCTTTCTTAAAATATAAGTCAAATCTAATACCTTTACTCTCCTATCCTAGTCATTGGAAGGCCGTCGTTTTATGTGACCAAACCAT